CAAGCATATTAGAGTAAAAAAGAGAATCAAAAGCTCTCCCCCCCCCCCAACAAAAAAAAAAAAAAAAAAAATAGGTATTGTTCTGTTCACTGCTTTCTTTGTTGTTTTGTTTGGGTTTATTAAAATATTTTATCTCAGGGTAATTCCCTGTCTTCCATCACTTTTGTCTAACATAAATGCAGGAGGAAAATATTCAACGTATGTGTACATTTTGTGAACAGATAAATAAGGAAAAAAATACAAACCCCACAATAACAAGGTGAATAAGGACTGTAATCGGTGCTCTTCTTCATTTTAAAGAAAAGAAGAACAGGTGACATTTTGCTTTCTAGAATCTTACTGTAAAATATCCCTGGCTAAAAATATGTCATCAAGAATAAGTATTTTTTTGCATCTAAAATAAAATTTTTCATAGTAACTTACTCTTTCATTATATCAAAGAGGACTTTCCCTAAAGAAGAGCCACACTTCAGAAAACTCTTGATTATACATATTCAGGATGAAGAACTTGATGCCTGTGTCTTCCACAATTTTAGATGAGAGTCCTACATAAGAAATGTTCATTTTCTGGAGAAAAATATTGTCACTGTCAGTGTTTTGCTTTTCTTATAAGTAGTGCTTCATATAAATACCATTTTGCAGTCATTTTATGAGCGACTTCTGAAATGCTATGGGGTTTTCTAAAGAAAATTCTGACATTGACATTAACAAGTAGAAAAAAAAAAAGGTGACCTTGTATTTCTTGCTTAGTCCAGACTGTCAGTTATTTACTTGTGGATATACTGCAATCGTTCAATGCAACTTCATGTTGAAAAGATTTGTTTCATGATTCAACTGCTTTTGTTTCTTTAAAAAAAAAAATGTAAACTATAAACTGGCAAGGTTTGGGGATTTATTTTTTTCTTTGTCTTTCAAATAAAATGTTAACATTAAAATGAAGCATCATGATTTTTAATATTAAGCAATAAACAGAACTGGCATTCAGCAGGAGCAAACAAATGCTATCTGTTATGTCTGTGCATTTTCTCTTTTCCTTTCTCTAGCTTGCTAGATAGATAAAGATAAAAGAATCTAATTTCTGAAGTGTGCCTCATGCATGCTTAACATAATTGTGTAAGTGTTTAGGGTATAAGCCATGCTGACTCTAGAGATAACTGGGTTTCCTATCATGTTTAATATCTTAAAATTATCAACTGTAAGAAAGTTGGGGTGAGGTAAAACAATAGTTCCTTCCTGAAGCAACCGTTTTGAAATGCATTTTCTAATAGAGCTGCTGAGAAAAGGTGCTTCATTCTGGGGCTGTAGGATCCTGCTGTCTTTTCATCTTTTTATTATTATTTTTTAAGTTTCATTATTTTCCAGGAATTAAGGTTGTGTCTTTGTCAAACCCCCAAAAAGTAAATTTCAAGTTAGACATCGAGATTCATAATTAGCCGAGTTTGACTTGCTCGTCTTTCTTAAAAGTGACAGGCTGTTCACTTATTCTTAAATACTGTCTTCAGCAAACTGTGACAGGATCAACTCCCGTTTGTTATCAGGAAAAAGGTGACCTTTACAAAATGATGGCCCTCTGCAAGACTCTCACAGATGTTCAAAAAACTGAATGTTTTTCAGTGGAAATATTTCTTCTTGATCATTTCTCCTGTTAACTGTAGCCCTGTGGTCTTGCAGCTTGGATGCTAATTCTTCGCTGTGCTTAGCCCTGTATGGCTAACCTTTCTGCTGCAGTACAGGGTGTTGACACTGACATGCTGCAGTTTACCATTTGTGATTTATTTAGGATAAATATGTCTCAGGTGGCATTTAATCCTTCATAAAACCAGTGTAGCCTGCAGTGTCAAACCAGCAATCACATTGTATGCACAATGAAAAGAGCAGACCTTTGCATAAAAAAAAAATAAAATACAGTGGTAGGTGTTCCTGTGCTTGGGAGCATTGGAAAGGATTCACTAACCTGCTGTGTGCTGTAATTACCTGGAAGCTCAGGTTAACGATACTTCTCTCTGAGTGCAGCCTGATCAGGAGAACTAATATTTTTCTAAGTCTTTTTTCCTCTTTTTCCTTTCTTTTTAATATGAGCTTTCAAGTTAACTTATTCATGCCCTACAAATGTAGCATCAGAAGCCAAGGGTGACATTCATTCTCGTGCAGAAACGCTATCTCAACCCCATGCTAAAACACTCTCTGCCATACACCAAAAGTTGAGGCTGCAGCAGATCTCTCCCAGGGCTTAGGAAACTCAACTCTGGCATTTGTCTCCCTCTCATGCCTGAGCTCCTGGCACTGTGCCATCCTGTAAACTGGGAGGAGATTAGCTGGATCACCCTGTGAATCGGCCAAGCATTACCTTGCCCTCTGCCCTGGGAGAGGGCACAGCAGCACCTGAAAAAGACCTGCACCTCCAGGATGGCCATTTGCAGTGCTGGTGAGGCACACATGGCATCTCAGGGGCGACAGGAGCCCTTTGCCAAGGGTAGCGTCCACCATCAGAGCATAGTTTAAGAACTTGTGCACCAAGGAAGGTTTTTAGCCCAGGCAGCCATTCACTCCTAAAAGTGTGTTTTATTGTTTGGTTCGAACACCTTTGTTTGCCTGTCTCCCAGAAAAATCAAGGGCTACACTGTAATGGAAGCGGTTGTTGAGAGTGCAATATCCCCTGCGTCAGCTAGTTGCCTTCTGATGTTCTGACTGCCAGAGCCATTGTCTTAATTTCCTCTTTGTTATCCATTCTGAATTAGCATTAGCAAAGTTGGATCATACCATGACAATGCCAAACAGGTAAAAAAGTGTTTAGGAAGCACTGAACCGGTGTGTAGGGAAAAATCTCAACAAACAACACAAAAATCAACAACCACCAAAAATGAACAAAAAAAAAAAACAAAAACCTAAATGAAAACAAAGCCAGAGGAAGAAGAGATGTTTCTGGCAAGAGTTTCACCCTTCATTTCGTAAGAATCAGATATACACCTCCTGAGGCAGTGTCTCCTAGCCTCTGGATTCAGGCTCCGTATTTGGGGAGAAAAGGGAGATAGAAGATAGCTGGAAACTATGTTTAGAGAAATATTTCCTATAACAAAAACAAAACAAAAAGAACCCAAACCCCAACACGACTCAGAGTGCCCACAGCTACATACCATTCTGCCTGACTACCAGCTCTACTTCGTTATGGAAGTGAGATGAGCCAGAGCAAATAGTTGATGCGCTAAGGTATGCACATGTGGATTGTGCATACTACTGCAGGCACTGCTGTCATTTATAAATGCTGCTTTAATACCAGAAATGTTAGCTGGGAGTCCTGGAAGAAATGTGTTTCTGATCTTTGCGAACAGTAGATTCAGCTTGTATAATCACTGTAGGAGTCTCTGCGTCTCAAAGTTGTGTCTACCCCTGAACTGAACCTGTGCTTAAAATGCCGGTGAGTTCCCTTCAGAAAATCACTGGGATTGAGAGATGGGGTTGGAGTTATTGGCAGACCAGCACAAGGAGCTGGCCTGGTGGTAGATGCAGGCCTCAGAAAGCAGCTTACATGGCTTTTTTCCAACTTTCCCTGCTCAGTAGATTTCCTGAGCACAACAGCTGTAAACAGAATGAAAAGGATGAAGACAAAACCACTCCTGAAATTTGAAACAAACTTAGTTCTAGTGAGAGTATTAAGTAACAGAAAAAGGTCATTCATTTGGCAAAATAAAAGAGAGCTGTGAGTTTTCACTTATTTTACTGCGCAATATTAGCCCATAATTTAAGATAGCACACGGCTCACTTAAACAGCCTACCCCAGTTCCATCTTGTTGAAGAATACAATTCGTTTTCTACTCCTCTAGGGTGATATCATTTTATATGAAGAAAAAAGTTAGCTCAGATGGCAGTTATATGTTTCGGAAGCACCTTCTAATCAGGGATTGGTGATTCATTATTAGCTTCAGCAGGCGATCCATCTGACATGTAAGGGGAAAAAATTAGCAGCTGTCACTGCATGATGAGTTAATTTCCTGATAGGCCTGACACTGAAAAGCCATTTGGAGACATGGAGATGGCTGATGAGAAAACCTGGTGCTGGTTTATAATTGGAGAGAAAGAAAGGGCAGAGAGACAGAGGGAGATGGGGGAGGGACTGAGGCTAATCTACAAGTGGGGATGGATGTTTGTGTATTTACTAAACAGACTGCTTCACCATAATCCGCATTACCGCGCACACACACCTCGGCGGTTAAGTAATAAGGACCGGGGCCTTTCATTTTCCTTCTGCTGAGTGTCATTATTTCTAGTCATTTGTAATTAGTACTCCAGACGGTTTTACTCTTACTCCAGCCTGGGTGAACGGTGTACAAGCACGCGATTGGGTTATCTTGCGGTGACATTGAAACCTGACATTTTAGTGGAAAGGGGAGAAAATGACGCTATCCCTTTAATGGTTCCCCCTGCAATTTTCTTAATTGCAGCTTGAGATTTCAATCAATCATACAAAAATAAACTTATCTGAAACAAATATTGCTAAAACTTCCAAGGGCGCTGTTGCAAATGATGAAAGGGTATTCAAAGAAATCTCTTGTATAGTATGAGGAAATGTGCTCTTCAAAATATATAAGCACATGCCTGTCTGTTTAGGCTTTGTAAGCATGGTAAGTAAAGCTATGGGGGAAATAGGCATGCAAGACCAAATGCAGTTCAGTGTGAAATCTGCTGCCTTGGGTCTGTAATAGGGACAGCAACACAGAGTCCTTTATACGTATTAGATAAAGCTAATAGAGAGCCCTTGGTTAGAGACTAACTAATTTCGCATGTGGCTGTCTCTGCCAGGTACTTCTTTAAAGGGTTACTTGGTTTCAGCTATTTAAATAAGGTATTTAATATGACCAACAAAGGAGGCCAGGCTTTTCTTTAACTGGAAAAACAAACAGACAAACAAAACCGAGCACAGTGAATAAAACTTTTATTTTTGAAAATGGTAGAATATGATGGGATTTTCACCATTATCAGAAAGCAATTTTTGATTGGGAAGAGAACATACCAGTGGCCTCCACCAACGCTATTTATACAAAAGCAGCTTTGCCCTTTTTCTATTAGGTTGTTCTTAAACAACGGTCAAGGATTTGGGATCGGTGTTGGAGGATCCAGGTAGGTAGGTCCAGCATGTTTTGTGCAATCAAAATGTGATAGATGACCACTACACAAGCTAAGATTATGTCCTGCAATGTAACAGGACATCTGGCCTTGTCTAAGACATATTCTTGTCCTCTAGCAGCAATACATTTATCAAGGCTACTTAGAATGATCAGTTTTAACACATAGCCCTGTCCTGGAGGTCATCATTAGCAGAGAACCATCGGGTTCTGGGTGATTCTGATTAGTAAGAATAGCAAACACCTGGGCAGCAATAGCTTAACTCTGGGGGGGCTTTTCTACCACATTCCTCCAACCTCTGTTCACTCTTCCTGCTTTGAATCTTCATTCCTTATTGCAGCTGGTTCAACTTCTGGGAGGTCCTGCACACAGCTGTCACCAGTTTGTCATGTTTGGGAGTGACCCACCTGGATATGGTGGGGACAGAGGAAGGGGTTTGTTACCTCCACTAGATTGCATCCCTTGTTATGCAAGTAGCCGTGAGCTTCAAGTTCTGTGAAGTGGTCAACAGAAAGGTTTTGAAAGTCATCCAGCTCCCTGGGAGGACTGGTTGGGTAAGTTAAGTGTCACCAGGGGACATCCTGTCAAAGGAGAAGAAAAGATTGAGCAAATCCAAGGGTAGGAGGCAGAGCCTTTGACAGGCGGCTAGGAACTGAGCTTGATAAGGAGCTCCTGAAAACAGAAATAGGACTGAGTTACCAGGAACTGAAAGCGATGGTTGCTCACACATAACAAAGCCACGCACACAAGAGCTGAGAGCAGACAACACATGAAGACAAAACCTGCCTTTCCAGCACACACCCACAACCCAAATCCAGCTCCTTTTGTCTTTCCCTTCTCCCATCCCTCTCCACCAAATCATAGGGCACAGACAGGCAATTTGGCAGCTGCATTCAGCCGACCCTGGTGTGCTTGTCCCTGATGCAGGACAGCGGCTGGTTTGAATGCCCATAACAAGTGCAGCACTGCAGGTAGCCCCAGGTCAGAAATGGGCTTCTGATACCTCCAGATTCCCTCTAGAGGAGGCACATGTCTCATCCAGGTAGGACAGAGGGCCACCAGGGGAAGGAAAGGACTGGTTTCTGCTGCAGATGAGGTCTTTGCTAGTGGATGTCTTATGCCAAGGGAGTTTCATGACTTTCTCCCAAATCAAATCCTGCTAAGCTTCTTCAATCTGCCAATGTGTTCCTCTGTCACTGGGGGTGTAGAACAGGTTTGTGTTTTCTGCTCAGCATATGGTGGTGACTGCTGGTGTTTGGTGACTGTGAAATCCAGATGCCCAGCTCCAGGAGGATTTTTCCCTTGCTAGGGACATCTGGCCATCCTCTCGGCCTTGCTCTTTCTTCTCCTCATTTTGCTCGCAGTCTGTAAGCCTTGCCTATGAATTTGCAGAACAGATCATTCAACTGATTTACTCTTTAATTCAAGGTTAAGAAGAAGTCAGCAAAAGGAAGCCTGGGGTTGTGTTTGCATCTGAGGACCCAGATAGAGATGTGTATGTCCCAAGCCCACTGCCTGCTCTTGCCAAGGCAGCAGAGGGGCTGAGGCTGCTGTGGCACATTGAACAGAAGGCGATGGCACTGTTGGCTGGCAGCAGTCTGGTGTGGAACACAGGTGAAAGTAAACCTAGAGGGATAGATACATCCAATACACCAGGATGGATGCCTTGCTTTGGCTCAGAGCAGCTAGGCGCTGTCTGGGGTGTTTCTGCTCAGGCTCCTGTCTTAAATCCATATGCGAGCTATGATGATAAATTCAGGGACAGCAGGTACTGCGAGCATTTCGGAGCAAATGGAAGCAGGAATTTTCAGGAGCTACATGTCTCTGCAGTAACTGGGAGTTTGGATCCAAGGGAGAAATTCTGAGTGACCTGGGAGAGCCTCTAGGCCCCACTTGACACCTCAGCAGCACAAGTGCAGCTCCTGCCCGAGCCGCACAGCCATGGTTTAGCTGTAGTGTGGGTGTCTGGCTGCACCCCAGTGTCCTTCCCTGCACTCTGCCATGCCACGGGAGGTGTGCTGGATCTCACTCAATACACAGCTTGTCAGTAATGTGTCTTGGTGGCTTAGTGGGTGGCCCCATGCCTGGTTTACTGTGTGCTGTTGAAAGCCTGCCCCAGAAGCCTGTCCATTTTCTAGACATTTCTTCTACTACTTGTCACTCAGGTAACTGAGTGCTTCCCAACCCATCACAGCTTTGTCCCCCTTTGGGCCTGCTAAAGTATCATGAGGAAATATTTTTCCTCTTTCACAGATGGGCAGCTAGAGTGTAGAGAAAGTTCTCCAACCACTTGGGGGAACTCCTCTGAGCATTATCTTTCCAAAGCTCTTAGACTTTGGCAAATGGGGAGATATTCCTGGTATGTGACCGTCACACTGCCCTTTTAATGCTTCATCACGGTCTTTGGTGTCTTCCACTGTGAGTGTGCTCAGCATACCCACAAGCCAGATTCCAGGGGCTGATGTGGGCACTGGACTGAAAAGGGCATTTCTTTGTCTGCTCTGCTGTGCCCCATCTTTTCACCTGCCTCCTGACTGTTCCTGTTGGCTGTGGGGATTTCTGCTCATGATATGCAATAGCCAATTTCCATTTCTGTATATGAAGCAAGGAGCTCATGTGGATATTAAACATACAGGCAACAATACTGCATGGGTTGTCTCTACTGGGTGTAGAGGAGCCCGCATAAAAGGGACAGCTAGGCTTTGAGTGTTCCTACCGGGAGATCCTTAATTGACCTGCCAGCCCTGGTTGTTCACCAAATGCAGGCACCCAACCATGCAGCAGAGAGCTGACCCATTGGGCAAGTGGCAGCTCATGGGGCCTGTTTTGCCTGCACTGCAAAGGGGATGAGCACAGCTCAGAGCAGTAATAGCTGGTGATGGGGAGTCATCTGCTTGTGCGGTGTACTGTTGGTGTTAATTCAAAGTGAAGGGCCCAGTTCTGTTGTGCCAGACACCAATGTGTGCACACTGGGAGGCACGTGTGGGAGATCTGTTTTCTTCATCGTCCAAGCAGGTTCCTAAGAAAGCCCTTTTGATAATCAGGCTGAAAGCTTGCTGAAGTGAAAATTAAACCACTTTAAATGCTGTTACAGAAACAGACTCATCACAAGCCAGAGCTGGGTTTCTGTACTTGCCACCCAATAAATACATGAGGTTCAGTTCTGACGTCAGACCAGCTTTACCTTGTGCATGTCCTCCGACGTCTGGTTTTCCGGTTACGAACTGCAGTAATTGTGATCAATCAGGCTCTACATTCACTAGCCACAGGCCGTTTTATTAATGAATCTACATCCCATCTTCATTTTTTCACAATCTCATCAAATCTCTTCTAGATCCTGTTTACATTGAAATTTGTCTGCAGCACACCTTTATAATGTCATCCGATTTGGAATTCCTGATTCTGCATCAGCTCCTCAGACCAGGTCCTCAGGACACAAAATAACAACATGTTCCTGGAATAAAAGAAAAATGAAAACAGGAGAGCTTTCAACGAAGTGCAAAGAAAAGCCATCGATTTCTAAGTGATACCATCCTTCCAGGTTGAGAACAGGCTATGGACAGACAATACTTTCAAACTCTTTTCTGTATGTGTGTGTCTGTCTGTTTAAAGGCTTGAATTCCTGCAGAAGGCAAACAATATAGAAATAGAAAATATCAGGTAGTTTTTTCCTTAGCATTGTACATTTTCTGTTTGGCACATGGGTTTTATGAATATTTGGCTTGACTAGCTAAAGACATGAATGTGACATGATGCAATGTGTTATAAATGCCTCAGATCAAAAGCAGAATGGGGAGAAAAAGCTTTAGAATAGAAGTTTATTAAAAACACATACATACAGTCTATTCTAAACAAACAAAAAAAAATCACTAATGTTCCCCTGTTGCATCAATGCCAGAACATTATGTTTGCAAATAAGAATTCAGCACTACAAAGACAATGCCCTAGATTAACTAAGATCCCATTTCACAAAACCCTATGGCAATAGTCTGCAACATCAGTCACAGGAGAAGATATAACACAGACGCATTTGTGCCCTCATGCAGCTGAACTGAAACAAAACAAAGAGTGAATTAGGCTGAATATCTTACTGTGTGCAACGTATTGTACAACAAGGCACCTTTGGGAATGTGTCACAGGGTTTGGTAAATTGAAAACAAAATAAACAGATCTATGGGAATAAATAACATCATATTAGATGTCTGCTGCATGTAGACTACATTAGCTTCTAGTCACAACCAGGCATCGGTTTTCCCACTAGTTTTTCAATGCCTGTGAACAGCAGATGATCTGGAGCCCCTGCAAAGAAATGGGGGCAGGAGCAGAGGGAGGCACGCTCCCACCCTGCATGCCCAGACGGGTGTGCACACCCTCGCTCACACTCTTTCCCTTCCTCTCAGTTCAACATGATTTCAGGCAGATGAGGGACCAGTTTGTCCCTTGCTGCTTTGCATGCATTAAGTCAACATTGCCATTTCTGGACCAGTGCAATGAGTGGAGGCATTTCCCTCACGTGATGGTCTCCCATTGCCGATTGGGTGAGTGCTCTGGTGACCCGCTTTACCTTCAGCCTGGTGTGCACTGCCACCATCGCTCCAGTGGCTTCTGCAGGCCCGCCAAAAGCACCAGTGAATGGCGGGGTTTGGTGTGGCCAGGAAGAGGGACAAGGTGCATAGGGCACCTGGTCCTGACGCAGCCACAAAACACAGAGGGAGCTGTGGAGAGTCGGGTGAGGCAGGTATTTCACTGCGTCCTGTCTCTAACTACAGAGAAGTTTAGTTGATGTTTTGAAAATGTTTTTTTATTGCTAAGCCATATGGGGCCAACGTCTGCTTCCAAGTACGTGGGTGAAACCCCACTGATTTCAGTGCGATCGCTTACATGAACCGAACTTAAAAGATCAGGCCATATTTATCTCAGCAAAAGTTCAAGCTAATTCATTTTCTCTCCTGTTCTCTCTCTCTCTCTTTCTGTATTTTGCTTAGCTGAGCTGAGCTAAAGGAGCGCATGTCTTGGAGATAGCTTTTTAAATATAAAATTTGCTTTATAACCCCAGAGCAATATGTCATTCCACAATTGCGAAAAATGTACTCTTCCCAAAGAATATCCTTCTGAAGCAAACATTGGCTTTATCCTGTCTGAGATCTAAGCACCATCCTTTGAATTCATGTATATCAGAAAAAGGCATAGAACCGCAATAGAGCAAAACGATGGCCTCCAAATTGTCATTATTCCAGTGAAAAGTCTATTTCTTCCCTCTAAGTAGCCGCTATGGGCCTTGAGATGAAATGCAAACATAACAAAGGACACAGAGGAAAAATGATATTTTAGTAACTTTTTTGCCTGAACACTCTCAGGAGATGAAGAAGTTTGATGAAGAAGTCAGGGAAAATTTTAACATTCAGGTAACTGATATTCTTGACTCTGCTGACTAAACTCCTTACGGCTTAAGTGGCAAGCAGCTCCCGCTTTGCTCTCCGCAGATGGGAGCTCAGATCCACCAGTGGCCCTTTCCAGGGAGCAGAGAACACTGCACGGCCCTGCTGGGCTGTGGTCAGCTAACATCCTTGTCATTTTTATTTCCTCCCATCTCCACTTGTAAGAGGCAGTTTGAAGGATACTGCTTTTCAAGTGCTGTCTATAGATGTTCAGGCAGCTGGGTTTTGTTATCCAACTTTTGAAAGGTATTTCTCATGAGAAGGACCATCAGAGAGGGTCCTCTTTTGGCCAGCCTTGGAGTCACTTATTCCCTCTTTCACACACATCTGAAGTTCCCCCCTACTCATAAACTGGAGGGCATGTATTTGACCTTATCTGCAGATCAATATGTTCCCCTTTGGGTTCCTGAATGCACTCAGGCATTTTTAATTTGATTTCTCTATTCCCATAGACACAACAAGATGAGAGAAGGATGAAGCTGACAGCTCTCATAATCAGCGCTCATTTTCTTTCGCTGGTGTGTCAGAATTATATTTCCATATTTCCTTCCATTAGTATTTTACCTGCAGTCTCCAAAGGCTCATGCTGGTGTGGTGAATTAGGACTCCTGACACGCCAGCCACCGAGACACACCACTGTCTCAGTGACAGTGCATGAGCACACGCATAGAGCAGCAGCACACAGGTGGCTGTGCGGCACAAGCCCCTCCACGGTCTCTCTGCTCCTTTATACCAGCCTCAGTGAAGGTGGTGTAATGTGAGTACCCTCATGGTATGGAAGATGTATTTCAAAAGCCTCCTGACACCAGAAACTCCTCTCATGTCTTCAGGATAACACTACTAACACTGACTGAATGTAAAGACCTTGATGGCTGCATGCTGTCCCCATCTCAGGATGAAGACCCTAAAGTATTCTGTGCAGTGAGTCAGGAGGTAACAGTTTAAAAAGAGCTTACAAGACTTAAGAGCCTAAATAGTATTTATTAAAAGTGGCATTGTCACTTGAGAGCTAAAGCCCTACTGAGTGTTTCCACACTAACCAAGCTAAAGTTGGATCTGACAAACTTACCTCAGGCCAGCAGGGTCCAACAACCCTGAAGGTCGATCACCTACATTTCAACAGATGAATGAAAAAGCATTTACCTGCAGGAGGGATATTATTTGGGATGCTCTTGGCCTTTGATTTCATATGAACAATTTGCAAATGGACAGGAGAAACTGCTTTCAGATTTCAGTACCAGTGCCAAAGAATTTATCCCTCCCCAAACCATGTGAAAAGTAAATATTCATAAAACTCCTGTGTGTGAAGGCAGCAGAGAGTATTCAAATGTGTCTGGAAGGAATCTCTTTCATTTTCCTCAGGTACAAATAAAGCACCCCCCATCCCCTAGCTCCCTCTAGCTCTCCTTTTAAATCTCTTTTTCATGTCTCACTTTTTACTGCTAATCATTTTTCCCCTTTGCTAATGATGCTAACCTTAGAGCCTGCTGCAAACTGACTTGTTTCATGTCAACCTCTCTCTATTGCCCACTTTTGTTAAGTCACAAAGCAGGTTTCAGTCTATTCAACATCAGCTATTTCTCTGACTTGAATATTACAGTTGCCTATTTCAAAGGCATCTCCAAGCCCACAGTATTTCTGCACAGATACCTCTGTTATTGTCTGTCATCGGGATGTGCTGGCTCCTCTCCTGCCTCTCCCCCCAGCCTCTTCCTTCCTACGTATGTGGCAAAGTCTCTCTCTGCTCTAATAGCTCTCCTGAGAGCAGGGTGAAGCAGGTCTTTACGGAGGCCTGTTAATTTTAAAGGACAAGCTTTATATATTAACACCCCTGTGGCAGTCTGCTCCCCACGCAGCAGACTGTATCCCCACCATTTACCCAGAATTAAAGAACACAAGGACCAAACCTGCTCCCCATCAGGATCCTCTGGATGATGCCAACACCAATTCCCACCTACCTCCAGCTTCAGCGAGCATCCCCGTGCAGGGTCAAAGCCACAGAGTGACACAGAAGGGAGCAGAGAGCCACGGGGTTGCCAGAGACCCATTGACTGGCTTTGTTGACCCATGAGGTGTCGGCAGCAAGGGGAGCTGATGGAGTAGATCTGCTTGTTTAAAGGAGCCTGTGTTACAGCCTTACATCCCTTCCAAAGCCAGTTTTCTCCCAGGTGCTGGATTCTGAGGGAGGTAGTTTTATTGTCTGCAAGGCCATTGTCCTACATACTTTATTTTTTTCCATGTGGTTTGTCAGAAGCCACAGAGATTTAATTGTGGGTGTAGCAACGTTTGAACTTGCTGGGCAACTGAGACCTTTTTGGTGGCTTGGAGTAACCATGAGGAGGTTTTTCTCTGCAGATAAAAGATTGTGAAACAGTAACTATTTAGCATAAATTGTGTCTTTTGGCTCACTAATCACCTCTCATTTCAAAACACGCAGGTCTTATTTACTCCAGCACGCCTCCATTGGGCTGTGACATTGGTGTGGTCTCCTACACCCCTCATCAGGCTGAGCAAATCCTTTGGAAAGGCTGACCTCTTAAACTGAAATCAAACAGTTGAGGCTTGCAATGGGGACAACTTTCATTCTCTCTGAGGCATCCCTTCCCTTTATCACACATCCCATCCCCCACGCTTCCCTCCCCAAAAGACTGAGAGGGAAAAATTAAGAAGGAAGGAAGGAAGGAAAGAAGCAAGTCTGGTTGGTGCAAAGGGAGAATTTGAAGTTATTGCTAATGTTAGCGTTTCCCCTTGGCTTGTTTTTTCACCCTGCTTCCCTGGCACACAGGTAAAATAACAAAATAAATCCCAGAAAGGGCTTTCTGCCAGGCTGCCTTTGGAAGTTTGCTTAAGTGGCCTTAAGTAAGATAATATGCAAGGAGTGTGAAAAGAGGAGACTTTGTCTTTTCACATTAGCAGCAGCCCTGTTCAAGTGGCAGTATCTATGAAAATGCTGTTCAGCCTTTAATGAGACTACAGTGTGTTAGTGTACCAGTCTAATTAATCCCATATTTTCACACAGCATAATTACTGAGCTGGAGCTGAATTATTTGGCTACTGGAGGTGGAGCAGTGCCTGCACTGTCCTCTGTCTCTGCTCCTCACAATTTATTATGCTATACAGCAAGACACCATTGAAACCTCCTAGTATAGGACTATCTGTCATCTCTACATTATCAGTAAAATACACCACCTTCCATACTGTGCTACAAGGGCTTTAGCAAATTGCTATTTTTATGGGATATGATAAAGGAAATGCTACCTTATGTTCAAATTTTTAACTGTCTCGTGTATGGAATATACAGTCGTGCTTCGTGCATGCTGGTTCAGAGAGGCCTCATTTGCATTGCCACAACCAGGGTGGTTTTCACCCTGTTACTTCACTCCCATTCAGTCCTCTTCTTTCTTTTCATAATCTTTTTTTATTTTATTTGTATTTTTATTTTTTTATTTTCCTTTATCTTTTTTCTTTTTTTTCACTTTTCTGTCTTTCCCTCTTTCACTTTTCTTTTTCTTCCTTTCTTGCTTGCTTGCTTTGTCTTTTTCTCTTGCTTTGCTTTTCTTTCTTTTCTTTCTCTCACTCACCCCCTCTACATCTCTCCCCCCACTCCTTTAGCAAACCGGTCACCCCTACACTACTATAATCTCCATCTTTCCTGGATTTAAGCTTTTTCATCTCTTAAAGTGCTTTCTCTCCCACCCCTCCTAGTTTGTGTTATTCCTTGAAACATATTTTTTGCACATTATTATTCACCTCTGATATATGATCTTGCCATTTTGGAACTGGTAGAGCCCCCCACCCCCTTCCTTCCCTTAGGAGTTTAGGGAGATTTGTGGTTTAAACATTTGCTCACTTGCTAGTGTTTTTGTGACTGGTTTAATAGTATCTTTTTAGTGGAAGGCCAAACACCACATTAACTATATGGAACTGTTTTAAAATTTTTCTTTTCAACAAAAAAGTAAAAAAAAAAATAAGAAAAAAAGAGGGTTATACCCTGTAAATTTTAAAACCAGCCTTAACAGTACATAAGGCTATTTTGTTATTGTGTATGGTTTCCATACAAGCGCTGTGAGATATATGGGTGTATGTATACCAGGCAAAGTGAGATCTCAAAATAAAGAAAACCACATGCTTAATAGCACAAGCGGGAGAATTACTTCCCCAAGTTTTTACCCAAATAGCGGCCCCGAGACTTGAGCTCTCTTCTACACAATCCTAAATCTAAGCTATTCAAGGAGCAATAACGTGAATTTCATTACACCTTTGCTGATACAGAGATTGAGTATTGGATCTGACACTCTGAAGCTCTTCCATATGTGCGCATGGGAACCCATACAGCTTGCACTGCCCCCCAAATTAGTGATGCCACGAGGGGTCTTTTATCAATCATCCTGGGGCAGCTGAAAGTAGCCCAAGCTCAAGGCTTAAGCAAGGTTAAATGTTAACAAAGTACAGCTTTCAGCCTTTGCAGGCCTGGTCAGATTAGCCGTGGGGTGGCATAGCTTCTGTGGGGTCAGTCTTTGGAGGCTCGTTGTGATGGAAGCCTGCAGAGCTGTGGCTGCTGACCCCCATGTGAAGCACAGAAAGCACACATGTGTGCAAGGTTACCAGCTGCAGAAAGATGGGGAGGTCTCTGCACCGGGATGTGGTTCATGCAGGTTTAGTTGCGCATTCGCTGCTGCATGGACTATGCTGACAAAGTTTATGGAAGAATCAGGGTGCTTTTAACAGGGCTGTGAAGAGAAAGTTCAAAGTGAATGAGCAAGGAATAGCTCTGTGAGAGCAACAGGATATTGCTAAAGCCTGGCCTTCACTGCCTCTGGCACCTCTGGAGAGTTGCCTGGATGAGAGTGAGGCTAGAGCAGCATCCATGGGTCCATGTGGAGCCTGGCTGGGTGTTGTGTGAAGATACAGACCACTACAAGCTGCAGCCACCGCTTGCTTTCAGGCCACTTACTTCATAAATGGGGACCAAGGTTTTCAGGAAAACAGCATTAGGCTGGCTCTGGTTGTGACAATTCAGAGGGGGCTATGCACATTAAACCTGAGAGGCCTTATGGGTGTCTCATTTTCCAAAACTGAAACAGTCAAATCACTTGAAGGTGTCTCAGGCTGTCAGCTCTTCCATGTGGCACCCAGAATCACTGGCTACTTCTTAAAATCATGTCTGCACATGGTCTGTAACATATCAGTTCTTCTGTGTAAACACACGATGAAGTTTCCTCCCTGCCCTTGCACCCCTGGTTTTTGCTGTAAGACTGTTTCCCCATTACTCTTCATATCTGTCAGGATGCCTTATCCTGTGAGCTGTCTCTTCTCGGGTATTTTCAGAGCTCTCCTCATTCCACTTCTCAATTCCGTCTGCTCCTTAGGCTCCGTAGGCTGAGCTTTAAACCTTCCTCCATCACCCACTGCTGCCCTGACTCTCCATTTGTCTTTTTTGAACCTGTGCACCCATCCAAGTCCTAAAGCCGGCCTGCTACAATCTTTATATTGCAGCTTTGTAAAAAAGCACTTTGAGTTAGTCCTGATCTGTTGTGCTCTGGTGGCCAGCTGTAAACCACCAACACTGACCTGCCTTGCTCACAGAGGTACTCGGTTCTTTCCCTGAGCTCGGAGCAGAGGCCTCTCAAGATGTGGCATTTCAAAACCATGAGGTGGCACTTCAGGGCCAGCACTGGCTGCTCATGCCAACCATGCCGGGTTCTTAAACTGCTTGGCTGGGCTGGAAGCTCAGAGACACGAAAACACATTCTTCTGCAGCTCCACTGAGAGCAGTGTCAGGTGTGCAGGAGGTACATTTTGACTGTTTCCAATGGCCTCCCCACTGCTGCCAGCTCCTTGGTACTTACAGAGACCAGTCCTGTGCAAAGTGGGTCACCTTGCTGCCTTTTTTTAACTCCATCTCTTTCTGTAACGTTTTCTTCCTCTGTTTCCACCCTTGCTGTGTTTACAAGGTGGATTGGGAAGCACCAGGCACAGGAATTGGCACTTACAGCTGTGGAGCTCACACAAACTCAAGTGACAGATGTTACATCGAGGATGGAAAAAGCGCATTGCCGATACTCGAGTCTATCTTCACCTGGTTAGGATGCTCTGATTAACTGCTCATAGCAGTGCTGCCTAGGTGATGGGACAGCAGCTGGTGCCTGTGCTAAGGCTACCAGTGAAGATCCATGTTGTGATGGTTTATTCGTGACAAGAACTCCTATGAGCAGCTCCTGTGGAGCAAATGGGTAGCAACAAAACAGTAATAGCTTATTTCTGCATCCTGTATGCGATCTTTCGACTGTAGGCTGAGGTACACAAGAGGATTCAGTCCTTATTCTGGACATGTGTGTGCTTCTCAGTGGTTTCCATCAGTGGTTTTGCATGCCACGTCCACCCTCTGTGCCAGGGTCACAGAGCTCATGAGTGCCTCTGCAAGTTATCCAATGCTCAAGAACTTTGAAAGAAACAGCTGGGATTTAATATTAGGTACACCAACTTACCATGACATGTTCAACCTTTAAAAAAATGAATGATTTCTTTAAAAGGTTGGATGTCTCCTACTAGCATCAGAGCAAGCAACTTGGGGTGGGGAAAAAAAAAATCAAAAAGCACCACAAATAGAGAAATGAGGAAAAAAAACAGGTGTGTGCTAAAATGTTGTGGAGAAAAATAATTACTGGAAGGCTTGATATAAATAAGACATTACATGACCCCTTCTGCCTGTAGGGGACTTCTGGAAGTGACAGACAAGTAAGGCAGGGTCTTAATGAATAGCCTTTCCCTAAAATTCTTTGCTGTGGGCTCAGCATAAACCTTTACATGAAAGTGGGAGCCTGTGAGCAGTAGGAATTATTTATATTAAATGTGCTGCTCAGCAAAACATGGCAAAATTCCTATTCCCAACTGGAAGAAAATCATATTTCATAGCTGTAATACCATTAAGGAGGATACAGCGATTGGCAGTGGGGAATAGGGGTGGGAGGGAGGCCCACTGGTGGGGGGAAGGGGTTTTTCCCTGCTAGGAGATGGGGCCCTGCTGGGTGCCTCCACAAACTGGGCTCTCTCGCTGCCCTACAGCAGAGGATAGAGAAGGGGAAAAACAGAGGGCAAGAGCCTCCACCTGAGACCAGAGGTAGGCTTTGCCCAATGGAAAAAAACATTGAACTTAGTAAGGCTGAACCCAGAAGGGTTTTATGGAGATTGCTCTTAAAAGACAATAGCCTTTTAATGGAGGACAGGATTGCTGTTAAAACCACTGGATGAAATCCTACGGTGATTGCCAAAAGGTTAAATCACTAGTCAGGCCATGGCCCAATATAGGTGACCAGGGGCCAGCAGGGGCTAAGCACTGCACAGGAAAAGTTCCTTCATAACAGGGAAACAAAGTGTGGAAAGGAACAGCTCTCTCCACAGTCAGCTGTGCTGCAGAGCTGGAGAAGCAGGTAGAAATATGGCCAAGGGCACTGAAACAGGGCCAGAGAAGTAACAAGAGCAAGATGTGCTGGTACAAAGTGTCTGGGGAAGACAAGAAGGTGATGCCATTAGTCTTGGGAAGAGCCCAGTGGCAGCAAAACCCCAAAAGAGAATGCCCCAGCTCTGAGAAGCAGTTTGGGTTTTACATACTACTGAAATAGATCTCTCTGACTCAGGGCTGGGATGTGCACCTTTGTGCTATTGTGTGTGTGAGTGTTTGTGAACTAATTGATGGCTGCTCAGAAATAAAACCAATGTTAGTGTCAACAAAATGTTGTTTTTTTTTTTTAAAACCTGTGCCTGTAGCACAGTCATGGGGGACTATTAAACCCTATGGCCCCTCTTTTAACCCTGGAAAGAATGGGTAGACATGAACTGGGAAGAACAAAGCTCCCTTCACATTGCAGGGAGGAGATGTTAGTGTTTCCTTGGTGTTCAGGCCAGAGAAAGACACAGAGATGTGAGGAGATTTATACCCTGCTGGAAGATCATCAATCAATCAATCAAGTGAACAAGCCAAGACCTTCTCTCATTTCCCTGGGATGTTTCAGAGCTCCATTTTTGCTGTGGTGATGCTCATGCTGCCTTGGAGAGAGAGGGGGCTCCCTGAGCATCCCTGTGCAAGGCCAGCTTCACACTTGGGAAACGAGGGTGCCAATGGAGCAGGTCTGCATTGAAAGGTCACCTTGCCTTGCCAGCGGGATTGCCCCAGGGGTGCAGAGCTGCTGCTGAACAGCATAGCTCCAGGCTGGCAGTGAGGTTACACAGGCAGTACAGCACTGTGGGCATAGCCTTCCCAAAATACCTTCTTCCACTGGTGATGGAGCAGGGTATATAGTGCAATGGGTACATCTCTGCAGAGGTGTTCTGTTCAAAGCAGGCAAATTGACAGGCTTCCCTCATAAAACAGTAATGCAACTTATACATGAAAAAAAGATCATAAAAAGTCGGTTTTCTCCCAAGTAAGATAATTCTGACGTTACTTAAAATACTTCAGACTTGTCAGTAAAACTTCAATGTCATTAAAATTAACTGGCATATTTAGAGATTGACTTTCTTGCTTGCTTTCAGCTCCCAGTCAGCCTGACATGGGGAGGGCACTTGCTATTCTTATCTTTCACACACTTGTATTTCTTGGCCTTTAGCAGCCTGTTCTGCAGCATGCACTGCCAGGGATAACGGGTGTCACTGGCTGCTGCTAATCCATTATGGCAAGCTGTCTAATTACCAGTGGTGCAGCAGTAAATAAAATGCGGGTTCACTTGCTGGCCTGCTCCTTATCCCTCATCTGAGAAGTGGGCAAATGTTATATCACCCCAATTATTGCTCCATTTACCTGCATGTTCCCTTGACTATGGCACTGCTAATTACTTACTTTGTTAGGCAGAAGAAATATTAGGTATTAATTTCATTTGCTGTGATGATAAGGAATATAACTCCTATTATTTGTCCCCTGGACTAGAAAACTCCCTTTGAGGCAATCTTTCTAGCCTGTGTGCATAAATAAAAACCCATTTTACTCTGGAATAGCTTTGGTACCTGGAAAGAAACCACATTTTGATCAGGAAAATGTTCTCTTTTCTCTGGTATAGGAAAAGCAAGTCAGAGAGGTTTCTGAAGTGGGACTGGATGTCATACTGGATCAAACAGTTTCTTACTGAAAGAGCATTCTGCAAGATAACCACATGAAATTGCTGCTCTTCAGCAAAAACAGTCCTTCTGGAGGTGCTTGGCTTCCAGTGAGGTATCAGAATTAGGAGCAGGCTCAGCCCGTGTCTTAATGAGACTAGATATGATTTTCATCTTAGACATTTTCAGTTGTTGATCCTAGTCCTCTTGGCTGCAGCCATCTCTTCATTTGGACTCCAGAGTCATGAGATCATCCACAGTAAAAATGCTGGTTACTAGTTACCAAAACAATGTGTGCTAGCACTATATTAAATGGTAAGCGACAGAGAGAAAAAGTGAGTACAACCCCCAAAACAAGTGGATGGTCCCAGGTAAGGCAGCAGGAGGGTCAGGCAGGTATAGCAACAGCATCTCTCTCCCTCAGTGCTTTCCAGAAAGCATCATGCAGGGAAGAAGGAGTGGCATGATGCACAACAAAGTAAACCTAGAAAGGGCCAAAAGCCTCCTAAGACCCCAATTGCCATTCTGTTGACTCTATTAACCGTCTACCACTTTACCCAACTTCTAACAAACTCTCGATCTGTCACCCAAAGCAGTTATATTTCACTAGGATCTCCCTTTCTAGCAATGCAGCCTTAAATAAATATTTCTGAAAAGGCGTCCTGAAATGGATGTCTGAGGTGAACTCCACAGTGTGTGTGTGTAATGGGGTTTTGATGAAGAATCTGATGTGGTAACTCTTGGTCTTCTTCAGTTTTGTGGTCCTCTAGAAATTTTCCAGTGGCAGTGCAGACCTTTTTAGAGATTTTGTGTGTCTAAGTGACCTCAGAGCACGTAAGGACTCCTTTTTCTTGATCACCTTCTTTTGGTGTTCTTTTTTCAGGTATCCTTTTCCCTTGGTTTGAAACCCAGTGAGTCCTGCATGCTAAAATGCCCGCAGTAAATGGGCAATTACAAAAGGTAAAATGGATGAAGGAGAATGTGCAGAATGTTACAAGTTTTAAACTATTTGCACATTTATACACATGCACACATACTATAATGTATATTTTTCAGCTGAACACCCTTCAGTTTTGTTCCATTTGTCATTCAGTGCATCTTTGTGCCATTAGCCTGGGTTTCACTTACACTGCAGCTTGCCTTCATATTTCAAGGCTCCAACATGTGAAACAGAAATTTGGATCAGCAGCATTGCTGGGATTTAGCTTCTGACAATACAAGGAGTAAAGAATAAATGGCTACAGCTCGCTAAAATGAATGTCATATGAAGTCTCCCTTCTTAAAATATTCAAAATGCTCATACCTCAAGGACGTAATTTAAATGTTCATTTTGGCCTTCTGCATCACCTTTAAACAAGGTGCTGGCATAACACTCCTGCCTCATTTAGACTACAGAATAATCAAATGTGTCTTGTAATTCCTGGCACTGGACACCCAGATTTTGAAGACTGTAAGAGTTTTGCTTTGGGACCACTAATTTCCAGGAGGAAGAAACAAGCCTTAAATACTGCTACCAAAGAAAACCCAATCATTTTGAATATATTCGATAGAAGAATAAAACTTCAGTTTCTTCTCAAAGCCACTTGGGGGTTGGGGGACTTGCAGCTTGAGTGTTAGCTGGTTGAGTTTGCCTTCTAAGTCTTGATGATGAAGTCTTCTTCTTGATCTCCAGTGGGAAGGAGGTAGTTGTGGTGCAGCTCTCTGGGGGTGCAGGACAAACAGAGGAGGCTGAGGCAGAAAAACATCACCCAGAGAGCAGTCCTGGGTCCAGGAAAGCAGCTGGGAGACTTCAGAGTGATCTGGAGAAATAGAAAGCAAACAGCATCAGAAAATGAGAGATCCTCAAAGAATCTCCTCCAAAAGCTACCACAAAAAAATCAAACGAGGGAAAGGAGGGAGAAATCAGAAGCTCCTTTTCTCGCTGCCAGGTCCTGCGCCACATGCCGAAATGCCCCGTCTGCAAATATGACTGACATCACTGGAGAAGAATGTAAACTTTGATTTTAAAAAAAGCCCCGCTTGCTGCTGCTCCTTTCTGGCAGCACATCTCACTTCTCTGGAGTATTTTTATCTGATTGCGTATGTATATGCACATACATAAATATTTTGTTGAAAGCAGAAGGATGCTTCAACCTTTCTTCCCAGCACTTGCAACAGAGGTTGTGCACAATTCAAAGCGGGCTCCTCCTGAGAACTTCCAAGTGTGCTGCTAGAGGAAGAGGAGAACAAAATGAAAATTACACAACTGTAAGAATAACAATGAAAATAACAAATAAGCCAAGTGAGAAATGAAGGACTAATTCAAGCTGTGACCTCTGTATCAATAATAAATGATCCAGCGCTGGGGAAGGAGGCTTGCTAAATTAAAACTAACATGGGAGCTCTGTGTCCCCCTGTCCTCCTCATTACTCCACCCCAGCAGCAAGGATCTATGCTGGGGGCTTGGGTGTCTTCCCTCCCTCCCTTCAATCTACCTAGCTAGAGCCCTCTCCCTGCTTGACAGCTACCGCAAGCCCAAACTGACAGCTCTTCAAAACCCGCTGGAGAAACCCAGCATTAATTAAGTCATTGCTGGACTGTAATTTCCTTGAGAAGTAAAAAATTCTCACACAAGAAAAGGTTACAGAGACCTTTTCTGTGTCAAAATTACCATGCTGCATGAATATTAATGCTCTTAATGAAGACAACCTTTGCTTCATCAGGAAGGTTCTGGAGCAGGTGCCAAGCCTGAAGTCTCACTCTGTGGATTTTCTACTCTATGAAAGTCGGCACAATGCAATTTTTCCATTAAAATCAACATTTCCCACATGATTGTGGAGGGTTTTTTTTTTTTTCCTCTTCTTTACAGATAGGCGGAAAGAGAGGGGGGGAAATCCCTATGCTTTGAAATCAAACATTTAAAGGTTTCATTCAACACATTAATCAGTGCTGAGAGAGAGGAAAGGAGGAGGAGGAGGAGCAGGAGAAGGAGGAAGAGGGGGGCGGAGGGGGGGATCTGCCTTATTTATACAGATCTCACACACGCTTCCATAGATCAGAGTCGTGTTCATGTCGCTCACTGCCCCAGGGTGCCACCAGGCACATCCTCTCCAGAAAGGCTCCATTGGGTCATGAGGGGACACCAGGATGGGGGGCATTGGAAAGGGGCTGGGGTGGTGGTGCCATCACTGCTGCCTTGCTTGGAATGTGAGCCCCAGCATTAAACCTTCAGGCACCCATGGCCCAGAGACTGAGGGTGAGCACTGTTGTGATTTAAGCTCAGCTGGT